TGCTTTCAAAGATGTAAACCAGTCTCTCCAAACTGACACTGTCCTGTACCAGTTTATTCACATCAGCAACACTAGCAAAGGTCTAAACATATAAGAATACTCTGATTCTAATTAATTTCAAACTGCTACTGCAATTTTAGTTCAAATTCACAGGCTGAACTACAAACACCAAGAGAAAAAGATATCCCTCTACTCCATTAGACAAAGCTTCCACAGTCTTTTGCCAGTCATTTAGAAACCTCACCAGCAACAATTCCTTACAAATACGTGCATCAGCCTCCCTCTTCCATACAAATCCCTATTCTAATTTCAGAGACTAAGAAACAGCTTGTTTCTCATGCTTAATTCTTATAAAATAAGACAGATCAAATTCTGAGCTTTCTTGCTTTCAATTAAAATAATTATTTTCAGCCTGACCTCAGAAAACCAGAATCTGGGGCATTGTTTCTAAGCTAGTAACCCAAGCTTTTTCTTTCATTGTTTTGATGGGAAATAATATTCACCAAAAGAGAAAACTCTCCTTATAATAGAGTAAATATTATCATAAATTTAGTTTGCACTCTCAAATTGAGTTTACAAACACTTTAATTTTGTTTACCTGTCTGTGAAGCAGATCTAGGTACGGATCTCGTGGTGGAACCAGCATTACATTTAGTCTGGGCCAAAATGGTGTTCTCAAAAGCATCTGTGACAGGAAGTACAATTTGTGTCTTCAAGGTGAAATAGTGACCAGACAACCAGTACAAAGTGAATTCCTGCATCACCTCTGCAACTGACAGTCTCTTTAACAAACAGGTGGACTGGGGTCCAACAGTTATAAAAGAGGAGACACATGACCAGCACAAATGAGTGAAAGGACAGCAGCATTCCACAGAAAAACTGTAAGTCTGAGAAGGACAGAGAACAGCGAAATGAATCAAACAGAAGCATTGATGTTAATTAAGGAAGACAGTTGCTGAGTGAATAGTGCAGTGTTCTATTTCATTACAGCTTCCTTACTCATTTTTAACACATTTTCCTTGCAGCTTTTCAAATAATTTTGTAGGTGATAATTTATGGGTTTTTTTTCTAATCCATACAGCAGCAAAAAGAGGACCAGGGAGACCAGAAATTAATGATTTCACTCTAGATGAATGCAACAGAATTTTGGGGGAGAACCCCTCATGTTATTACCTCAGTCAGAGCCCTGGCAATAGCAGCAGTATCTTCTGGTAAAGGGGTGATAATGTTCATTGTTTCCTATTTAAAGGTACTCAGTCTGGTGAGGGATGCTGTGCAGCAGTACCTTGTTTTTAACCTGTGAGGAGCAAGTCAGTTCTGCAGATAGTTCTTGCACCTTGAAATCCCCCCTGCCCCTGCAGCCACAGGGGATGCTGAGATCAGGGCATCTGTCAGTGAGGAAAGCAAGGCATAAACCCCACACTTTGGGAAACAGAATGGTTCTAAACGTAGTGCCAGGGGTCACTGGCATAAGGAAATATTCTGCAAACAGCAAAACTGCTGTCTCTGAATTGTTTCTTCCAACCTCTCTGTTCCTCTTCCACTGGGAGTACCATGGGAGATAGCTCTGATATTTCACCAGTTCCATCACTGACCTGTTCACTGGCTCTTCCTACCAAGTTTTTGTGCAGAACAACACAATGAAAGGAGTCCTCAGCCTGCATCTCTCTCCTGCCTGTCCTGAAGCAGGTACTTGAGGTACCTGGCTCCTTGTGTCTCTCTAAGGCAAATGGTCAGGGGAAGGGGAGGGCTGACAATGGAAGCTGGTGATCTTCCAGTAGCTGAGGAACAGCATCCCAATTTAACTCTTTGGTATTGTTTATTAATCAGTAATTTATGAATCTGCTGCAACCATTTGGTAGAAATTCTGCTTGTCTGAAATGAAACACTGCACCTGAAGTGGCTATTAATGCACAGTCTAGCCTCCCCCGTAGTCTTCATGCACATGGCTCCTGCTTCTCTCATTAAGAGTAGACACCAACAAGGGAAGAGGGATGCAAGTGGCCAGACTGCAGATGAAGGTGAAAAGTAGACCCTTGGTTCCCTGATGCTTCTCTCTATGGAGGGAGGCAGAGCCAGGCAGAAAATCCAAATCCAGGTGACAGCCTAGAGCTTTACTTCCCAAAACAGACAGAGAACTGGGGGTATAATTTAGGCCTGTGCCTAGGTGAATATGAGTGCAAGGGACAGGCAAGGGAGTAACAAGCTGTCTTGATCCCAGTTATGCAGATAAACTGACCCCAACCCCTAATGAGCTCCAGTGTGATGAGATGTGAATTCAGTGAATAATATCAAACGAGGTTTTCATGCAGGATGGAAATACTCCTACCTTCAAACCCCAGGGGAGTTGGGTCACTCTTTATTTCATGTCTCTTGACTTTAACTGCAGGAACAAGGGGACCTGTGTGGAGTTTATAGAGTCACAAGACTGTAAATACTGTTAAAGGAGAAACTTGCTTTCCTACCACCTGAAAATACTAACTACCTAAGACTTTTCACCCAGAAGAATGACCAACCCCTGGGTTCTAGGTGGTGAAGACACACACTTCTGTGAAGTGGATAGGGAACAGACCCCTTTTGTCAAAAGACATTGAGACATCACAGCAGAAGAATCTGCTTCCCTTCGGGTCTCACAGATGTTCCCTCACTCTGCCCAGGAGATGGCACTAAGGCAGCCAGACCCGCAGCGCCCGCCCTCAGCCGGGAGGCTGGCAGGGCACAGCCACAGAGCCAACACTTCTGAGCCACAGAAGGGGGGACACCAGCCACGGGTCATGTGCAGCGCTCTCCTGTGCCCCGACTGCAGATGTGGGGGGAGCTGAACTGTCAGGAGTGAGGATCAGGCACAGCAGCAGCTGCAGCCTCAGAAGTGATGGCCACAACACCCTGGCCAGGTCTGCATCTGGGCTGATGCTGAGACAAGACTCAGGCATCAGTTCTTTTGTCATCGGAAAGATTTTCTTAAAGCAGATGCTGTAACTAAAACACTTAATTGAAAAACACTGATTCTGTTTTCTAGCTTTGAAAATCATTGCAGAAGTAGCTTTCTCAGTATCCCAAGAGATTGACAACAGTCTTTTGACAAACAGGATTCTAGGATAGGATTTTTTTATATGAAACTGTAACAAATTTTAAATGTCACTGCAATTCACACATGCTCTCTTTGATAAACCACACTAAAGAACAACCTTGGTTGCCCATTTTCTTTGTAGAGATGTGCTTCATTCTGTTCCCCAGCTTTGAGAATAATTATTAGGAAATAACTCAGTCTTCCCATAATTTAGCAACTGATCATGTATTTCTGAGTTGTTGCTGAGGGCAAAAAACTGTAATAACCTCTTCTCATGTGCTGTGCCCATCACTTCCATATGAGGATGTTCTAGTGCTGTGGTCTAAAGGTGCTGTCAAAGAAATGTTTGTAGGTAGTGAGACTGTCACATCCTTCCTCTGCCCATCAACCCCACCATGCCCTCATTCCCTGGCAGCCTCATTGCAGCCAAGAATGTGGCTCATATCCTTCACGGCTGCTGAGAAGGCAACAGATACTTGGCAACTTTCTTCCTGACAAGTATAGAGAAAAGATTTTTATACTAATTAATTCTGCCATTTTGTCTTCTGTTTTGATTTGTTAATTGCCCTGAAAATCTTAACCTTGCAAATCAGTTCCTCCAGTCCATTCCAGCAATTGCCAAAAGGTGGTATATTCAGAATTCCATGTAAAACCATATGTTGTGTTGTCAAAATTATCCCTGACTTGTAGGACATGTGCCCACAATGATTTTCAACACAATCAACTTGCCTAAATTCATGGGTTGCTTTTGAGGTTAAATCTAGGCACTAGTACAGTAAACTCATATTTTGTAAGTGCCTTTTCTAAAGCTAAATAAAGCATATAAATAAAACTTCCATAAGCTCCCACACAAACTGCATGGAGTTCAGTGCATTAGGCACCCAGGTTCCTTGCACATTGGAAAATTTCCCTGCAAACATAATTTCTGACTGTAACAGTGATATTACTAAACATAATTAAAACTGGCATCTATTGCTCCTCTGGTTTTGACTTGATTTCAGGCTTTCTTGATATTGCTATGCAATGAAGAGATTTTCTCCTTTTTGAAAGCAGAAATCCTAAACAGCTTTAAGGAAACAGAAATAATTTCAATTGAACATCAGTTAATCCAAACCAGGGAGAACTTAGAAACTTAACCCCACATCAGCCAAAAATTAATCCAATTTCCATGGACACCAGCAACACTTTTTGAAGTTTACAATGGAGAAACTGGGAAGAGTCACTCTGCGTGCTGGTAGCACACCTCAATACACATCCCAAATGTTCTGGCCTGCCTCCTTGCAGGTGCTACACTGGTGCTGACTCTTCTTCTACTGGAACCTCGTGCCTTTGTAAAAGCTGAGCCCGAGGTGCTCACTCTGTGAGCAGCATTTGGCAGTGAATGTGCCAGGCAGCAGGCAGGGGAGGGGAGCTAAGCAGGCAGCAGGACAGTACCTTTGGTGACAGCAGAAGCATTAACTGTGGTGCTGATGGAGGAGGCTAGGGAAAAGCGACGGGTAACTTCTCTGTCCTTACACTCTGGATCTGGGAGAACAGACAGATGCAATGCAGGGCAGGGTTAGAGGTTAATAAGCACTGGGGGTAAAAGATGTTCAAAGCAAAGCAGCAGCTGGAAAAAGGTAAATAGAAGAAAGGTTGCTCCTCTAAAACAGAGAGAAAAAAAATACCCTCAACAAGGTGAAAAGCACAGAAAGTGTTATTATGAACATATTTTCAAAGCAATTCCAATTGCACCAAATTTAATACTTCAGAAAAGAGCCATGCCAATTATTATTTTAGCAACCAACTAGTGTCCAAGTACAGCTACAAAACACAGAGAAATGAGCATGATGGCTGGAATGGGGTGTGCATCTACGGATGAGGTTTGGATCATTTTAGACACTGAACTGCTTGTTCTGTGATGACTGACCTGAAACACACCGAAATCAAGAATGAATGGTTTGGAGTTCATATTAGTCATTTCTAAAATTTGACTGTGTGAATGTCTGAAAATATTCTCCAAACTTCCATCTTTACCAGTGCAAGCCAGCTTGGAGAAAGTGAAGGATACATAGTGGTTTTTTGTTTCCTTATTTAGCATCCTGCCTTTTCTCTAAGTCTGCTGGAGTAAAGACACAGCTTTCACTATGAGATGTGCTGAAGTTATGCCCACCCCAGGGAATATGAACTTGGCTCTGAAAACCAGGATGGCTAGTGCTGACCCAAGGGTGGGGAGATGCAGGGTGCTTTGAATGTGGACTTGGATACACTTTGGTGCCAGCTCTGGGATGGCTGTCCCAGGGATCTCTGCACTGATGGAGTGCCAAATGCCAGTTTCTTTTCCAGACATCAGCATTTCTTTGACTAAAACACCAAAGTAATTATATACAACATTTTCCATCCTGTCATATCCAGCCTAGGCAGACATTCAGCATTTCTCTGAGTGTCCATGCTCCACTGTCAGTCGACACCCAATCTTGTTTTCACCCTAATTAGTTGGGATATTATATTGTTCAGACCTTCCTTTTTATATGCTCTGGACAGAAACAGACACAGCAGGTCTGAACCAAAGTATGCTCAGCTCAACACACCATCCTTCACCATGGCCAGTAACAAAACCCTTTAGACAAAGTGTTGAGGAGCAGGACAAGCTGGTTGCACACACTTCCCTGTTTCTCCCAGCTTCCAGCCGGCCCTGCAGTGCTGAGGGGCTTTGCCTGCAGCCATGACCACGGCCAGCCAGCCTGTCTGCCAGCAGCTCCCTCTGGGCAGGAGCAGGTCAGCACCACAAAGTGAAACAGGACATTGTGCAAGAGGTGTTCCACAGGAATCCCAAGTAACCAGGCCCAGCAAGGCTTTGAACTCGGAGCACTTACAGCTGAGGGGTTATGAGCTCTTCTGAGCTGTGCTTCACTGTCTGGAACACTGAATACAAGGCAAGACATTTCATATGACAAGAAAAACTCAGATTAAAAAGTGAAAGAGGCCCCAAACAAAATTGTAAATCTAGACTCGCAAAAATTGCAGCATTATTTCTGAAATCTGTGTCTTGTCATTGATTTTTCTGAGTCACAAGATCTAAAATCCACTTATTTTTATATTCAGACATTGAACTTTGTCCATCTTGGATCTCGCTACCACATGCAGCCTTAATCTTGTAACCAGAATCTTACAGTAATGCTGACTCTTGGTGCATTCCTATCTACTTTATCACATTATAATTTAATGTTTCTGTATTTCTGCTTTTATGCTTTCATCTTGGTTCTTCCTCCTTTGATGTTCACCCTCTCCATCACTGCATACTAACCTTTCATCTCATAGAGGAAATGCTATTTATCAGAACAGGAAAAAAGCCACGCAAAAACAATTAAAGGGAGTAATTACAGTATCTTTTCAGAAAGTGATTGTAAGTAGTCATTCAATTTAGTTTCTATTCACATTTCTTTCATTGCTCTAAAGTCTCTTCTTTGTACAGCTATCACAGGAACTTCATGGATATCTACTAAACATTTATGCACAAGTTTTCAAAACATAGCATTTTCTGGTGTCATATAAAATAATTAAGCTGAATAAAATCCCAGATCTCCTGAATTCTGATTCCCCACTAGGTCACAACTGAACAATATTTGAAAAAATTACATCCAACCAATGGATGATTTCACACATGAAACTCTCATGTAGCAAAATTGATACAATACTCTTTATCTTCAAGCCTGTAAGCTGCTGAAAGAAGTTCCGTTGACCATTTAAAGCCAGTTCACACTTTGACCCTTGAGAGAAACTGGAAACAAATGTTATTTGCACTTTGCACCAGTAGAAGACCCAACCAGCCGACCCAGAGGTTGCCTTGCCAGTGCTGCTGTGGGAGCAATTTTTGGTGACAGTGTCTTTGAGCAGAGGAGTCACTTGTGTGCACCAGGAAGGAGCATTTGGGTGAGATGCAGCAGCACTTTAGGAAAGGGTGATGGATGGCACCATGGGATGGAGAGAACATTGTGGGAGTGCAGGAGACAGATGGCCTGAGACCAAATGCTGCATGGGTGATTTTACCTTTGGGTGGAGCTCTGCGGTTGGAAAGACCTTGCAATGTGAATCGCTTTCTAGCAAGCGCTGTGCGCTCAAGGTTAAGGCTGCTGGAAGCATCAACTAGGAGAGAGAGGGAGAGGGAAGAGAAATAAGGAAGGAAGGGACAGCTGTTCAGCTTATGGGAAAGGAAAGGTTAGCAGTGGATGACAACTAAAAAGAAATAAATAAATTTTGATTCAGTTCAAGCCTGAGCAAGAGCTAATCAATTAGAAAGGTGACATGAGGTCAGGGTGAGTAAACCAGCGGAACCAAACAGAGCCCTTGGGTTGAGTTTGGCTCACTGAGTTTTAATGGAGAACAACAAAACAAAACCAAAGAAAAACAGGTGAAGGGAGGTAGCTCTCATCAAAGGAAAATACAATTTAGCAGCAAGCTAGTGCCTTCTGTTATGGAAACACATCATTGGTTGGAACAGTGAGTTGTAGGGAGAAGTAAGAGAAGAAGCCTTGCAGTGCAGGACATGCAAGTGTTGGGAGCAGTCCCACTTCTGCAATCCAGCACTGGCACTGAAGAGTCTGCCCTCATCAGCCCTATGGCTGGTACATCATCAGCCTTACCTGCTGAAGCCTTTCTAAAGCCTCTGAAGCTGGCAGAGTCATGCAATTGATCTCCTGATCTGCTGGGATGTAAGGATGCCATGCCAGCAAAGCTCACATGCCAGGCTCCTGCATGAATAATCAGCCACGCTGTCTGACAGCTGCCTCTGCAGAGATCTGTCACAGATGGATCGAGGTCCTGAGGCTCTGGGCTTGAAAGATACTCAGGTACTCACATTGCAGGAAACAGGACCTAGATCAAATCCCATATCCTGCCAAATCTTCCATCTGCTCCTTTCTTGGTGTGGGCAGATAACAACCAGAAGGTTTATGACAAAGGAGCAGGAGAAAAACCATGTATTGGGTACCTGGTTCTGAGCCTTGGGATTTAACCAATAGATTTTCCTCCTCTTTAGTTCATACACTGTCACATGAAAATCTTTAGAGGGACAAATGAAGACCAAAAGTACAAAGGAGACAAAGAGACAATGAATCCACACTGACAGACAAACAACAGACTGACAAGCTGTGCTTCCAAAGGAAAGTGCATCCCATCACTTCCTGATTTGCAGCCAAGATAATCCAGGATCTGAGGTGCCTGCATGCATAGGTGGGTGTGAGAGGAAGAACAGATTTTAAGAACACAGAAGAATTATGTCACTGTGGTTCAGCTCCTTCTACCCAGTGCCAGCTCTGGGCCAGGCAGGTGCACCTGGTGAGGAGCTGCTCCCAAGCAGTGGGGTCAGCTGTGGGGCTGGCTCTGCCAGGCAATCTTTGGACAGATACTGTAGCTTATAAAGAATTCAAAAACTGGTATATAAAATACATTTACTTTCTGCTTTCTTAGAGCAAGAAAATCCAGAGCATTTAATTATCAGAGAGTCCCACAGGGAGTACAGCACTGCATGTGCAGAGGGCTGGGTTCCTGTGTTAGTTCTTCAGCTCTGCAATTGAATCACTTCCCTGAGGGACCCCTTTGCATTTCACAAGTCCCCACAGCCTCCCAGCACCAGCAAAGCATTAGACACTGGTCTCAAAAGTCATATTGTCTCCACCTGAGTCATTCAAACCTTTTCCTTCATTCTGCAGGTACACCAAAAAACCCTGGAAATTATTTCCAAACATAATAAGAACCAGGTCCTGATGGACAGTAGGATGAATGAGAGCCTGAATGCATACTTCAAAGAAAGCCAACAGCATCCTGGGCTGCATTAGCAGAGCTGTGCCAGCAGGTCCAGGGAGGTGATGTTTCCCTTGGCCCAGCACAAGAGACCCTCCTGCAGGGCTGTCCTGTCCTGGGCTTTGCAGGACATGGGCATACTCCAGTGAAAATCCAGTGAAAGGCCATGAAGATCATTAAGGGATTGCAGTAGCTGACATGAGGAGAGAGTGAAAGAGCTGTGATTGCACAGCCTGGAGGACAACAGGCTCAGGAGGATCTTATAAAATAAAGAAGATGGAGCAGATGCTTCTCAGTGGAGCCCAGTGAAAGCATGAGAGAGGCAACAGACACAAATTGACATATGGGAAATTCCATTTAAAAATGTGAAAAACCCTTTTTACTGTGAAAGGGGTTAAGTCGAGGACAGTGCCCCCATGGCAAATTGTGGAGTCACCATCCTTGGAGCTGTTCCAAGAACCCAAATGGACATGGCTGTGAACAGCTTTTTGCAGCTGATCCTGCTTCGAGCAGGGCAGTCAGACAAGGGGGTCCCCTACAGGTTCCTGCAGGATTTGCTCCCATTTTATTTCAAGGCAGTGACTCCATCAGTCAGGTCCACACAAAACACTGGTCTACACAGAGAAAAGTCTGCCACAGGCACTTGTCAACAAGAATAACAAAACTGAAATAGATTGTCAATAGTACCCTCCCCTTCTGTACTAGAGAATCTCACCAGTATTTTAAAATAATCTGTGTTCACATTAACTACACTGATATTGGAAGCATTTTACAGGCAGTAGGTGGCACAAAAGAGACAGTTTTGGCAGAGCTCCAGGCTGTATCCCGGGTGTTGGAACATTTTTGAGTTCAGCCTCCTGCAGAGCCCCAGCGGTAGGTGCCTCACAGGGACACAAACTCGAGTTTTGGTGGGACATCTGGATCTGAAGAGCATTTTGCTGGCTCTGCAGAGCGAGGTTTGCAGCTCAGGATGCACAGGACACCCGAATCACCAAAGAAGAACAGACTCACTGCCCAGCCCTGCAGGAAGAGCCACCCACCCGAGGATGAGGATGCTCTGGGCTGAGGCAGTGGGATCCCAGCCAGAGCCCTGAGGAGCTGCTCATGGGAAAGGAGAAGACAGAAGAATGACAACCAGCACGGAATGCAAGCCCCGTTCCCACACTCTTGAGTAAGCTGGACAGTTAGAAAACATCAGTAATCTTCCTGGATTATTTTTTTGAAAAGGGGTTTATAAATTTAAAAGTAAAAGCTACTTTTCTGCTTTTAGAATTAGAAAAAAAGTCTAAATGTTTTAAAAATAAAATTTTAGTGAAACAAAATTTTAAGATTGGGTTTTCTAATGAAGAACCCATAACCTTTTTCCCAGCATGAAAACCTAATGCAATTAAACATCTTTTAGTAAATAGCCTTTGGTGAATATTTTTCCAAGAGAGATACTCCATTTTCTTTTTAAATATCTTTATAGATAAAGGGGCTGTTTCTTTATGCCACATTTGGGCATTAATCTCTTAAGACCTTACAATTTTCTTTTCTCATATTAGTAGAAAATTCTTTGTTCAACATTAAGAAATACTGCCTAAAAGAGAAATTGCTGTCAAAAGATTTTCTCTTGCTGCTGTCAGATGAGATTCAGTTTCTTTATAGTGTTTATTTTAACTTCTGTTTTATAGAAGATGTATTGCACTTATGGCCTCAAATAATGGTGGGACTTTCTGTGACTGCCTGTGGGTTTATTTACTGTACACCTGAGGGGAACTGATATACACAGAGGAGGCAAAACACTCTCAACTTAAACAAAGAAATCAGTTAGCAAATCTGTAGGAAAAAAATTTAAGTATGTCTAGAAATCAACTTCACCAGGATACATAAGGTTAAAACACATATGTTATTGTCCCCTAAGTTCTATTTTTAAATTACACAAGTTGTATAAAGAGCACTATAAAGCATCGAAACTCAGACTTAAAAACCCTAAACTGGTATTGCCTTTCGGTGCTCACAAATTTTCATGGTACAGTCATTCAGCTTTGTTTCCCCTTTTGTTTCTTTGTTTTCAGCATTGATTTTTCTATGTTGGGTTAAAACAACGTTTTAAAGTACCCTCATGAAACTCCAGAAATATATGCAAATATAAAAATTTTACCCTTTGGAAGCAAAAGCTCTATCAGAACTCCTACCTCTCTTTTGTCTGGCGCTGGGACTGGAATTCCTGTTTTTATTGTTTGATGCATCCACATTAGATGTCTCAGATTTGTTTTCATATATACTTGATGACTTCCTGCTATACCTTGGGACATAAGAAATACAAAAACAGTAACATCCTTGGTTAACATCTAATAAAGCACTGAGCACTAAGTATTCTTTTTTTCCCTTAGACATGGAAGCCTAAGGAACAAAGGACTGGTTTTAAAAGGCTGTGTGCTATAAAACCCTGCATCTGTGCAGGTATGTGTGGTGGGAAAAACCCATCCTCCCTCCTCTCCACACCACACAGTGAGGGATGTGCTTCATCAGAGTTGAGAAGGGGAAAATGAAGAAACAAGATGATTGTCTGCACAAGTTCTTTTTGCAAGTACAGCAGATTTGAAAGGTTGGAGTAGGAAGCCAGGTAAGAAAAGACAATCCAGATTTCCCATCCTTTGCAGCATAAATACATTTGTCATCCAGGAGAGAAATGGATACTAAATGGTCATGTAGAGGTCATACCATGCATAGAGCCACATATGAATTCTTCCCCAACATCTGTTTCTTCTGCTCTTTGGAGCATGAATCCTAGTGGGATATCCCTGTCTGTAGCTGGATCACAAATGGGAGGATCCACCTTGACAAACCTGCCCAGGTACTGGTCTTGGGTAATGGGACTGAGGCCCCTGTCCCAGGTTTGTAGGACATTCAAGTTGTGAGGTTTTCTTGTGGTTCTTTGCAAATGTCTGGTGGTTTAATTTGGGTGTCTGACTGTTATCTTTGGCAGACTGCACCACACAAATCATTTTATCTACACATTTGAAATATTCTTTGCCAAGGTGCCTGTTATTGACATGTATCAGCAATTAAACTGCTGCTTGCAATTAACACGAGCTGCTAAACTTAAAGTTCACAGGGTTTGTTCTGCTGTAAGGGAAGGTCCAAGATATCATTAAAATCTTAAAAATATCTTAAATACTAGAGATTTGTAAATACCTTTTCTAAATATAACGCAGTCCAGGACTCATTGTTTAGCATTTGAACTTCTGACCTGCTTCTGATGGAATTTTAGCAAAGTCTCTGTTACCTCCTGTACTAAATCAAAATGTGATTTTGCAGCCTAATGTCGGGTACAAAATGGGGCTCAAAATAAACATGGGAACAAATCCAAAGCACACTCACATTTCCTTCTTTTTCCTCCCTTTCTTCCCAGCTAGGCTGGGATAACTGTGAAACATGCAGCTGACAGAGTTAAAGATTTACAGCTGTGAGAAAGACACCAAGAAAATACACAAGCTTTTTTGAAACAGCATCTGCAGCCAGATTCCAAGAGTTTGTGTTTATCCATGTTCACAGGATATTTTTACATGGATGTATGACTGCATCAGTCATTTCCAACAAAGCAGATAGTTAAGCAGTTAGAACAATAGACTATTTAAGTTTCATATGTTTAAATAGATTAGAAAACAATACAAAGAGATAACTTCATTATCAATGAAATGCAGCAGCTATCCCTTGAGAGAGATACAGCAGCAATAGATACCACAGGGCATCCCAGTTTAGGATTAAACAGTGAACTTTGTGGAAGAATTTGGAGAGAGAGAGAGGAGAGAGAGAGAGAGAGAGAGAGAGAGAGAGAGAGAGAGAGAGAGAATTGAAATGGGCTGAACAGGACTTAAGGACACTCAGTAACTGCCTGTATTAAGGATGCTGGCTCCAAGTGTCCCTTTTCCCAACACCTCAGCTCCAATCCCAAGTCAGGCCTGCCTTATCTCATGGAATTGCAGTCCCAAGTGATGTTGGTGGCATGTAAACAGTAAAGGGGATAGTCTTTGTCATGGAACAGATACAGCTTGGGGAGGGTAAAGCATCCTGCAAAGAGATTTCCCCATTGTCACAGCAGTGGCTTGACACTTCCCAACAGCAGTCACTGTCACACATGGGCAACCCAGGAGTAGGTGTCTGTTGGGTAGATGATGTGTCAATGATTAATCAGCCTCCTTCTGCTGGCAGAGCACTGATGATGCTGGCTGCTCTTTAGCAAATGCTGTCTCCACTGGCCTCCAGCACCTTCACAACCAGGGCTGCTTGGTCACATCAGCCACGAGCACAGAGTGTGCCCGTGGTGGTACTGCAGCCCAGCCTCTTCCTTCCCCTCCTTGTTTCCCCCCAGCATCCCAGAGCAGGCTGAAGAAAAGGCTCCCCAGTCTGAGGAACTCTGGATCCACCATTTCACATCATCTCCTGCAAAGTCAGCTTGATGCTGCAATTCCACTGCCCTTGCTTATCTTGGGGACACAAATTACAGATAATGGGACACCCTGAACTTTGTGCCATTCATCACAGCCCAGAGCATTGTTCCTTAATGAAGACTCACTGTATTATTCCTCCTTTTACAATAACCCAGCATTTGGAGCAGGAGCACTGACCTGTCCTTTTCTGGCACAGTTGGCAGAGTGAGGACAACAAAAACTTAATTTTTCCTTTGGTTTAATCCACTCTAGGACAAATAGCTGATCACATGGCCTTTCTTCCTGGAGTTAATTTTCTGTTGACATATTTTGTCTATAATATGTGGCCTGGAAAATCTCACTTTAAGAGCCTTAAAAGAAGGACACACATCTGGATTCTTCTAAAACATTTTTGTGATTGCACTTCATATCATACTGGAATAATTTTCTCCTATCCCCAGGGTGGTTCTGCTGAAAGATTTCCACCCTTGAACCCTAAAAAAAGTGAATTAACCAAGCCTAGAGAAAATATGGTGCAGGATTAATAGCACTACATCTGTTTAATATTTCTTGCATTGAGTTGTACAACTCTCAAAGGCTGGATTTAACCAAGAATATCCTGGCTTAGTTGAGTTTGCTAAAATTTTACAGTGATATCCCATGCCAACTTACATTAAACTTGCCCAGCAACTGGGTCATTACAAAACTTTGCTGACAGCTCAATTTAAGATCTTAGAAATGTTCCAATACTTTTGTCTAAATTTGAATTAATCTTTGAAATTAATTCTGAATTCCTATATCACTTCTCTCTTGAGCAAACCTTTATCTGCATTTATGTATCTTTAGAAAATTTGAAGACAATTGAGTGAATTCATACCCAGGAAGCTAAACACAAAAACCTATTAATTTATGTACTGCAAAAGCACAAATGCAAGTTTGTGCAAAACAAAACATGGCCCCGATATGTCAAGGCAGCTGTGGTTACCTGCTTGCATTGGAGGAATCCATTGGTGCATGATACACACTCTCAGTGATTCTTTGGTGCAGTTGACTTGCTTCTGTTAAAGAAAAAGTAAAAAGAAGTTGCTCCAAAATGTGTAGGTTTCCTCTGTGTTTATGTAGAAGGTGGAGAAAGAAACAGGAGAGGAGAGATTTTGACTGCCACTGCAATAAAAATGAAATGCTTGTACTTTAAGAGAAAAGCATATTAAGACCTTAATGAAACCTTTTAGCTCACCAAACAACTCTTCTACTCACAATTTTTTACCACAAAAGAGATTTCTTTCCCTGTTACATTCGGTTTCCTCTGTACCTCTTCCTAGCTACCTCTTCCTAGCTAACTGCATGATATCGATCTGGAGAATGGACATAATGGCCTTCTTCCCAGAATACAAGTTGTGTGGCTCACAGCTTTGTCTGGATTTAGCAACACATGTCCATCAGTTCTTTTGCATATTCAGCCACATAACAGAATATACTCCCATCTCTCTGCAGAATGCTTTTGCTCAGCATCCTGGACAAAAAATAATCAGAAAATGTTATTCATATGCCACTTATTCACTCTTTTTCCAGGGCTGCAAGGTAGCAACAGACTTGTACTTTGTCCAGTCAATGCTGAGTGAAGAAAGATTTTAAGACAATTGCTCAGACCCTGGATTTCAGGGCCAGGAGAGTCAAACACTGAGAAGTGAGGAAGTAATGAAAGGAGCTGCTTTCAAAATCTCACATTGCTGAGATCCCTGGGCTATTTCACTCTGAAAAAAGATGAACCTCCTATCAGTGGAAGAGAAGTGATAAGGGGATGGGGCAGCACTGAAAGATTAAACCCATCCTTTGTTGGTGGGGTAGAAATGTCCATGCTGGCTGGGGAGTCAGACATAGCTCCATTCCTTGTTTGACAACTGATTCATGGCCTTACACAAATCCCTGAAGCTGTATCAATAATTCCTTTGCCTGCAAGAGACAGCTGAGTTCTTGGGGATTGATGGGGCAAGGTGTTGCCCAAAGCCTGGTTAGCATTCCATGCTCACTGCAGTGTCTGAGGGGCTGGGTACACAGAGAGCGTTTGGGCACGAGTGACCCATATTTTAAACTATTTATCCCATCCTGTGGCCAACTTCTCTGCCCCTCACTCATTCACCTCAGCTGGTTCCTTTCAACATTCCAGCCCCCTGTGCAACTCCTGACAACAGTCATTAAAAACAGCCAAACAAACAAATATATCCCTCTTCCTTCTCCCATTGCAATGCTAAGTTGTAAAAATATCCAGTCTTGGATTAAGGCCTCTTCTTTTATGAGTCATTAGAAAAAGAAATTTTAAAACCACAGGACAAAGCATGTGCTTCCTGACATCAGTTATTGTAGTAAGGGGTTTGATTCATGTGATCTTTTGGGAAAAGGCAAATGGGAAGAGTTGCAATAGCATATGAGATACAATTTACACCCTCTGACTGGTGTTCTGCTGGATTCACAATAAAGGAAAGCTTGACTTTACTCATAGAATAGGATGAAAGTCACCCTTGGATGGTCTCAAGACCAGACTGAATAAAATCTTGAGTAACCTTGTTTGACCAATAACTGACTCTGCTCTGAGCAGGACCTTGGACTGTGATGTCCTGAGGTCCCTTGAAACCTGAAATATTCTAGAATGGTTTGATCTTAGGGCAAAACAATAAAGAACATCAAAATATAAATGCTTCAATCAGTCTTGATTCCTGTATATTTTTCTCTGGAAAATGTAAAGTAAATCTAATAGCTGATCTTGTATCCTATAGAGATTTCATAAATGCTCAGGTGGGTAACATACAAGCTTAATTTCCTTTGCCTAGAAACAGAAATGGAGGACTAACACTCTATCCTATTAAATATGTACATTTACTCCATTAGCAACTCTTTGTGGTAGCCTAAGTAACCACCTTTTATACTTCAGAAGCAAATGTTACAAACCATATCAGAAAGTCTCTAGATTCAGTCTTGAAACTGCACTAACAAGAATCTTGAGGTCTTTCCTCAGCAGTTCCTCATGAGCTAATCACAGTAAAATTCAGAACAAAAAGGAGAAAGGATGAAGACAAGATCAGTAACACAAGACCAGAATAGTAAACATTGTAAATAAGTGTATTGTTATGGGATGGATTCAGTTGCTGAGGCTAATGCTCATAATTGTTTCCCTGTACCTAAGGAGGATGCAAGATCTCATTATCTTTGTGAAACAGGCAGTGAAAATAGAGCTGACATCTAAAGTTAAAGCACAGACACATGTTTCCACCTTGGACAAAGTCTGCTTAGGAATTTGAAGGATGTGGGTGGAGAGGCTTTACTTTAAAGAGAGAGGAGTGTATGAGAGAAGCAGAAAATGACAGACCAAGGTGAGAAGCAATGCCAAGATTCAGGAAAAGTCTGTGGGATTTTTTGTCCTAAGAGAATACATAGCATCTATGATAGCTATCATCATTATGTTCTTTTACTATCTGAAATAACCTGACTGAATTTTGTCTGTCTGGGATTCAATATCTCATATAAAAAAGGGTGTCATTTTCTTAGGTATTTAGGAGGCTTCAATCATTCATGGTGTTGAACACATCACAAATCACCTTCATAGTGACATCTCAGTGAGAGAGGGAAGTGTCATGAACCATGTTTTACAAGGAGGTCACTAAGATGGAAAGATGGGACAACTGACATTTAGAACATAAGGTGGGTGACTAGATTTGAAACAAAACCCCTCAAAACCCAAACAAAACAAAGCAAACACTAAGGCAGAGGAAGACAGTTGCTGTGTCCAGTTATGGATGTGGAAGGAGACCTTTTGATCAAGGAGACACAGAGTGCACACCCCATCTCCTCACATGCTGAGGTAAAAGGATGCTTCTGGAGTTGTGGCTTGAGAGGGACAACAGAGGAAAACCATGTTCCTTGGACTAACTGTGAATGGAATAGTTATCCCTGTCACTTATAAAAATCCAAGGAATGTTCTTTGATCAGGACATGGCTTTAAATCCCAGCAATGCTGCAACTGCCCAGCTGGTCCTGGCTGGCTTCACTGGGGGTACTGGCTGGCACTGTAAGCTGCCCCAGCCCCATACTGTCACACACAGTTACAGGGAAGGACACATTCCCAGCTGCTGCTCTGTGAGCCCTACCTCTGCATGCCTCCAGCTGTCCTGTCAGGACTTTGCGGATCTCTGAAATCCAGGTGTTTTTCAGCTCAACAGAAGATGCCTGAGAACAAAAGAGGACAAGGCAAAGCAGATCCATTAAAACATGCTGCCAGTCACAGGGCTGCCCTGACCTACACTGGCTTGCCAACAACTGGAACACTGTGGCCAGCTCTGAGCAAAGCAGATGCTCCTCAAGATGGAAAAGTTACCACAAATCCAAAGTCCTGTCCTTGCTTTTCTGTCCAGCATTCCAAGGAATTTTCCATTAATTTATTTCTTCTTTTGGCCAAAATCCTGACCATTTCCCCAAAAAATTAGCCATTTCAGTGCCTATGAAAGTGCTTAAACAATGAAGCTTTCAATGGCTATTGTTTCTGGAGTGTACAGGACAGTGAATATTCTTAAAAACAATTCAATTGAAAGGAAGTATAGCCCTTGGAAACAAAAAGGATTGTCATTACCTGAATGATATAGACTTCTTCTCTTCCATTATACCAGATCTCAAACTTCTTATTATCCCCTTTTACATTTTCTGTAATGCCCACAGTGCTCATCTGTTTCAAAATAGAAAACAAGAATCTGGAATCTGGAAAATATCAATAGTCTTTAAACTTGATCCTCTGGGAAGCATTTTTTTAAAGGCTGCATTCACTTCTGACACCTTTGGGAGTCATTAAAAGTAAAATTCAGAGCATGTTATTTCTCAATATCTAATTTTTCATTAGTGTTTTTGATTGCTAAAAGGGAAAAAGAATGTTAAAAATTAACCCAAGATAATGTCTGATCTTGAATTTATCATCTTTTCTTTTATTGCTTGATCTGTGGATCAGTTTTCAACTCCATCTTGGCTCTTTCTCACCTTGACAAATTTTCAGTTTTATAACTGTTTTTTTTCACTTGCTATCACTGTCCTGTTGAGGTGGGAGAGAAAGAGGGGTGGAATAGGACTTTGTGAGATTTAATGAGCAGTCTGGAAATCCAGAAGACACAAAAAATCTGAAGGAAAAAAATCCTAGATTTCTTAAATGAAAAATTTTTAATCACAATCTTGAAGATCAGCTGCTACTAACCAACTTCTCATCTTATTACTGTATTTGCTCATGCCTCTTGGTCACATTCACATCAGCATTAATTTAAAGGTTTAGACAGTGTTCTGCCACCATTCCTTCTATCTCTACAGGATGAAACTTGAAATGTTTCTATGAATTGGTCCAAGCCTTGAAGCAGGTTCTGTTACAATTCCTGTCTGGGGACCCTGAAATAAGTTTGGAACATTACACTTGATGATCCATGTTAGCTGGTTAAAAGCCACAAGTGTCACACCAATGTGCTTAGAGGGAAAATGTGGCCTACTTGTGATTGGCACACTAAAATGTCCTGACTCATATCTGGAAATTTCACTCTTGCAAATAGAAGGGCACTTATACGGCACTGATTCATCTGTAGGTGCTACTGTCACAGAATTTGCTCAGCTGGGCCAATAGTAAAACTTGCCATAGAACTGCACCTGGAGGATGCCCATAGGCAGAACAATGAAAGGTGTGGGTCCATGCAGTCTGGCATCTCTTTATGGGACACTGGGCAAGAACACACAAAGTGCCCCTTTGTATCAAGTTGCAAAGAGCAAGGTTCATATCTGCACTTACAGGACACATGGCTTGGTCTGGCTCCAGCCCAAAACTAAATGGGAGCTGTCATTTACTCTGGGGTGCAAGACAGCTCCAGCTATGTGCACTTCTTCAAATCCCCATATGGACATATCCCTGTCTGTAAGAACACCAGACTTATTTCCCTCCCCCACCATTACTGCATTTATTACCTTTAATGAATTTTTAAAGCTGTATGAAGCTGTCTTCTCATGCCCATCAGTGTTCTCCTCCCGTTTCTTGCAGAAAAGTAGCATCTTTGTATAGAGGAAGAGGTGTCTCTGCATTGGTTTGAATCTAGCCAAGTCCTTCACCTTGTTGTGCCCCTTCTTGTGGTCAGTCCATACGTTGAAGGAACCCTGCATCAACAGCTTGCCAAGCTCACTGACATCCCCCTAGCCAGCAAGGAAAAGAGAGAGCATATATCACACTCAAACCAGGACAGTCCCAAGCACAGTTCATTGCTCTGGTGGTGTCTGAGGTTCCAGGCAGAGGCATCCCTTGTGTTGGAGAGTGCACATGTCCCCTTGCTAAGCCTGTGTGCTTTGTGCCCACAACCATTAACTCACCAGTTTCCATGTCCATAATTCCCAGTTTGTCTCCCCACTCATAGCTGGCATTTAAGATCCGTCTCAGAATCTCTTTGGATGTGACACACAAGCTGTCCCCTCTGGTCACCTCAGAGGAAGCTTCTTCTGACAAAACCTGTGTTTCAAGGCCCCTGACTCCAAGGCAGTAGGAAGGGCCAGTGCAGTCCAATACCCGAACAAAGGATTTGATTCTGGAAGATCCAGTTTCAGTTTCCACTCTTGTACAAGCTTCCTCCATCCCTGGGCAAAACTTTGAAAGAGCTTAGATGCCTGAAGTCACGGATCAGTGCCTAGAGCTGTGTAGGTACGTAATTCCCTCCTGTTTCAAAACAGTCTTTACAAGCTTTGTCAATAATTTCTTGGCTCACCATCTATGCAACACTGCACAGCCCTGGGCAAGGAGGGAGTGAATGCACCAAGAAGCCATAAAAGTACCTGAGGGAGAATGAAACCAGGCAGGAACAAGACTTTTCTAAAATAAAGCTCTTGTCTGAAGACCACTGATGGGAAAATACTTCAACTTATATAAATATTAAGCTCACATGTCACCAGAACAATCCCATGTTAAGAATGGAGGAACATGTGCATATAAGACACGGCAATGTCTATATGGTAATGGGATTCAACAAATAATGATAATCATACTTATCTTAGCACAAGTTTTCCTAGGAATGCTTTGTATAATAAGTTGAGGGAATAAGCCTAGTGCATTATTAAAGTACTTACTTTCAACATTTGCATGTTCTGTTGATTATAAGGTGAAGACGGCTCCAAGTAGGAATGTCTCATTTCTTATACTAAGAATTGCAACCTGTTCTCCCTCTCACTCCCCCTCCTCTACCCTAAATTCAACTGCAAAACCAGAGCTTTATTAGGTACTTTTACACTCTATGTCAGGGTATTATTAGACTCTCCAAACCATTCAGAAAACCTCAGCAATTTAGATAAATCTGTCATCTCTAATATCTAGATTGGATATTTTCCTTGTGCATCCAGGATTGTGCATGTTTTTATTTATATGTGCATGTAGCTATAAACGGCAAGCCTGTGAAAAGCACATTGATATGCAAAGCTAAATTTAAAAAAAAAAAAAAAATCATATTTTCTACATGGTTCTGACAGTGGTGAGAGGTTCCTGTCACTCCACACACTGGTTAATACAGCACTGAGATCCAGAAGCCCAGTTCAACTCTTATGACAGGTCTGTCTCTCCAACCTTGAACCTGGGATTGGGATAATAGTGAGTGAAGTGGGAGACAAGAAAGAGACAGACAGGGATGGCAGTCTGCAGCAGTCCCACAGGAGACTTTAAACATTAGTCCACAAGCATTGCACTCTCTTTGGTGTAGGCAGCAATAGGGAGACACTGTTTCTGGTAATTTCTCCTAGTGGACAGCAATATTTTATCCTAAAGGAAGTTTATTTAAAGTGGAGGATTTGGTCACTATCTCAAATATTATTCCCTGTTAGAGAAATACATAATACCCCATGTTTCCCATGGAAGATGAGCAATACATATGATAATTTATAAGAATCTCTCATCATAATTCATGGACAAACTACCCAGGCCAGATTGTGTACAAACATTGAGATAATAGTAGGAAACATATCTAAATCTTCTGCTCTCTGAGCTTTATTCTACTTGGTTTTTTTGTGGTTTTGCCAAAAAATAAAAAACATACACCAAACCAACCCCAGACTTACATGTTAGCAATTTCTTACACAAGAGTTCAGCTCCTCAAATCTGCATGTGCCCAAGTCCAAGAAACAGAATGTGCAGTTGGGAGCATCCATCAGCTGTCACAAAACTTGCTTTCCTACTGACATAATATCCCTCTCTGAAAGGTTTTCCAGGCAAATATCTCTATCATGGATGTGTGGGAAAGACTCCACAAGATCGGGTGTGGTTTCATTATCTATAGGAGGTGTTTATTTGGTACCATAACTGAGCACCTGGGACAGGTGGAACAGGAAGAAGAAATTATTGAGTACATCCTCTTTCACCCCATTTAAAAATTGTGTAAAAAACCATCTCAGGAATGCTGTCAGCATTGGGCTAAACAGTGACCATGTCTCACTATGCCATGTTTTGCAGTTCAGCTAAGAAAGCAGAAGCAAAGATCTACTCCTTGGATTTACTATCTGGTACTTCATGAAAGGCTGGAAAATTCAAAAGCAGAATTTTAAAAGGAACAGGAATGTTCTGTTGAATTCCTGAGTACAAAACTACTCACACTTTAAAGCAAGGACAAAAGGATGACCTCAGCATTTATATGGACAGGAATATGGATAAATCCCCCTTACTCAGGATAATATGTTACCTTTCTTGGAGAAGCTCTTCTTCCCTTCCCTTTACAGAACTGTTTTGAAATCAATTTTTTGCTGAATTTCTCCAAGTACATACATTTAAACTGAAAAACACAGGAGGAAAGCTACCTTTCTCTTTGAGAATTAATAAGAAACAATGGAAACTGGGAGGCAGAAGGTGTGTTGTATCCATGAGCTTCCCATGTCCATGTTGACTGGTTCAAGTCTGCAATAATAATATACAGGCTCTAAAGAGTTTTTCTAAAATGAGTCTCTGAGACACTCAAGACTTAGCTATGACCAGAATGGATTAAGTATGTGCTGCTTTATTTAAGTTTATCAGGCTCGAGATCTAAGATCGTATTTATGACCCGTGGTGTTTCTCTGATCCACAATCACCACACCTATTCAGTGTTTGCTGATTCAGTGAGGTGGCCACTGCTTCACCTTCAACCCAGTAGAGCTACTGCAGGCAGAACTCAGCCCAAATGTAATGCACAGTCCACATCTCCAGCTGTGCAGCAATGGATCTCCAACAGGCAATTAAACAAGCAAGCAGTTAAATTTATTTATAAATCATGTTGGCAGCAGGCAGGGGTTCCTCAGCTACCAGAAGCAGGTGCACTTGCAAAAAAGAGAACTATAGAAATCAAAACTCCACTCCCATCCTGATAAGCAGAACTCTTCCCACCCAGACATTGTCTGTATAGACCTCAGCACCTTCTCAGGAAGTCAGATTCCACAAAAAATGTTTTTTCTGGATTAAAGCCTGTTACTGTGATGTAAAAATTTTTTTAACAATACTCAGTATATTGTTTCTCTATTGACATTTTCACCCTGCAGCTATTTCAAAATGGGCAACCACATGATTCCCAGGCCTCATTTTGCCAGGCTTGTTTCTCCTTTATGTGTCAATCACTTCCACTTCTCACTTAAGGACTCATTTTATGTAGTCAGCACTCATTCTTGAAAGTCATATGACTTCAATGGAGCTTCTGCAGAGACATATATTTGTACCCTTTGATTTGTACTGTGGTTGTTATTTCACATTTCAGATAACAAGCTTGCCAATCACTGGCACAGATTCCATTACCCACTTTAAATGAAAGCCACATTTTTCTCCCTAAGTGCAAAAGATTTGAAAACACTTGAGTTGCACAGGAGTCACAAAGTTTCAGCAAATTTCTTAAGCAAATTTCTTAGCTCTGCCACACTTGTACCTGTGACCTACAATGAGTTTTGGGTGCAATTACTCAAAAGTCCTGCATTTGCCCCACATTCACACTCCAGCTCCACATGACAGGGGTGCTGGGATGTATTTTTGCTCATCACAACACATCTCTGAGTGACACCTTTCAGGAACATGTCACAGGCTCCACAAAGCACAGTACCAGCCATGGGCACAGCATGATCAGTGGTGACAGGAGCATGGGATGGCTCAGACCAGAGCAGGAGCAGCAGTTACCTCATATCCTGTGATTGCTATCTGGTGCATGGAATCATTTACTGATTTGATGATATCAAGCACCGTGGCCAGGGCTTCTTCCAATTCAGCAGTACCTTCTGAATTCTTGCTGCACTTCAGCATTTCCTGATTAAAAAAGGATATGGGGAATACTTGAGAACTTCTGATACCAGAAGACACCATAAGACAATCCTCCCTGGAATTTGTGTTGCATAAACAAAGCAGCAGAACTAGAGGAAAACAAAAGAGGAACAAAAAACCCCAAATATGACATTCACTAGGGTGGTCATTGAGGACACACATTTTGATCTTTTGAACATTTTCAAGTTTAAAAGTTTAATTTGAGACAGGACCATTCCGACATATTTACAATTAACTCCTTGCATGTCATAGAATTACATCCAGGGTTTTTTTTTTTTTTTTCTTCACATCTGCTAGAAAAGAAACTCAGTATAATTATTGCAGGTGTTAGACAGTTCCTCATTTTCTTTTGCAATTAGTTGCAAAATTAATTTCTAGTCTGAATTTGGCAGGTTTGACATTCTGCATTTTGAGTCTGCATTTTAATCCAAAAGCTGAGGTGCATGTGTTTCTGTAAAATAGGGATGCAAAAAGATAGCTCCTGCAAACCCCAAACAGCAGCAGTCTCTCCTCAAGTGCTTGGGTAACCAGGATAAGAAGATAAAAGCAGGATGCATTCCTACAGTATCTGCTGCACATTTTCTAGGATGAGGATGGATCTCTGTACAGTGAGCATGCTGCTTTTATGAGTGTGAGCATATTAGCTAAACTGATTGAAACCAGAGGGTTGCAGTAATTGTGACCCAAAATTCAAATCCAGTCTGCCCACCACTCAAGGCACACATCTTCTTAAACACTTGTTTGTTACCAATTTTTTACTGGCTTCCATTTTTGTACATTTTTAAATGCTCCTGCAGCCAGGGAAGGAGTGCACCATCCTCCCAGACCTCATAAACCCTGACAAAGTAAATGTCAATGCCAATGTGTTGTTGCTAAGTAGAAAACTGGTCTGACCAGCTTCAAACCCCAATGGCTGAGACCTGTTTTGCTTGAGAATTTTACTTCTTGATCTAATCTTATTTACAGTCATATTTCAAATTAAAAGTAAAATCTGGTTTACTCTTGTTTTCCCGGAGACCTTGACAATTTTTCCCTTCTCACAGAATAGTTTCAAGAAATAGAGTTCAAATTATTTCTGGACTTTGTTGATGTAAATCTGCTGGAATCAGTGAAGTTGCATCCTTGTCAATATCCATGTTCAATATTTGGATTCTACAGTTTTGCATTAAGTAAATAAGCAGTTCACAGAGATATGAGAATGGCCAACCAGGTCCTCCCATGGCTTATACTGGCACATTTTGAGCAGTGCCATAGTAGCTATTAGCAAGTTAAATGGCAACCTAAAATCTTCATTGCAAATTTCAATGCTAAGTTTCATGACAGTACCTAACACTACTTTAAGCCCACAGGCTTGAGAACAGCATGTAATTCACTTTCATGACCTTCCCATAGGCAAAATCAGGAAATATTATTTTTGAGAACTGAGTAGATGGAGACAGAAATTTAAGCCACCACCTTAAAAAGGAAAAAAAAATGGTTTGAGTGTATATATTTTCTATTGCCCAGTTCAGAACAGAATTTCAAGCATGGACCATTCATGGTTCCAACCATTCAAGAGAAAGTTCACATATTCACCCTGTGCAAAAATGGCAGACAATTTGTTCCTGGCTGTGTCTTTTAAAAAGAAGCAGCAAAAGGGAGTGGCTCCCTCTGAAAGGTTTGAGTCACAACTATGGGAAAATATTACCTCGGGGACCTGAAAGAGTTTTGTTAAACAGGGACAGATGTTACAGACAGGATCTAAGGCATCAGTTCCTGTTTTCAAATTGTAAAACTATATACTGATACAATAAAGCCAAGCTCAATTTCTGTTTAGAAATAAATAAAACAATAAATAAGACAATAAAATACTATTTTAAAATATTTTATATAGAGAGACCTATAAATGTAATAGTATACTGCTATTACTTAGTACAAGTACTGCTAAGTAATAGCAGTTCCCAATTTAAAACAGATAGGGAACTATTGGGAAAAAGTCTAATCTAAAATCTAAAATCTAAAATAGATTGGGAACAGGAAGTCCCTGTACAAGACTGTTTTCTACCATTTACAACTAAAAAATGCTGAGTATTTGCTGAAGAAAAGAGTGAGGATTTATTTCCAGGGAGTCCTGACTGATATGCAATTCCGGAAGTAAAACAAGCCATACATTGGAATTTTTGCATTGTCATGGAGAACTTACTTTTAGCAGCAGCTGGTACTTGGTGATTCTCTGAACTGGCTTTAAGAGATAAGCATCAAGTGAGAGCTTATGATCCAATTTACGCTGACATTCCTGCAGGAGACAACAAGGAAGAAAAATAAAAATTGTGTCTTGAAACACAGGCAAGTCACCAAGATCATTTTCATTTGACAATCTGAAGATTGTATGCCTGTGAATTAATTAAGAGAGAAATTTGTTCCATCTGCATAGGGATTTCCGGGTTACTTATGCCACAGAGAAAATACACCTAAAGCAAGAGCTAATGTCCAGGTTCAACTTAGTGTTGAAATCTGGCATTCCCTGCTGATAAGATTGCAATCAGCTGGGATTTGCAAAGCAGCCAGCAATTTTTTGGCGTGCTATAGCCTGCAGAGTCAGGGTCATGTCCAGGAAATCTACCACTGCTCTGCCTGCCCTGTCTCCTGTAGAGAACACCTTGACACACACTGGGCACCTGCCATCACTATAAGAAGCATGCAGGAAAGTCTGTATATTACTCTAGGTTTTCTAAAGAATAGAGATATATAAGGAAAATGAGCTTTGAGGGTCTTGCACTGCTAGTCTGCAATGAAATTCCACCTGAAAAAAGATGCTGTCTCCACACTGTCTCCAGAGAGCTTCAGACCTCGGTTTGTTCTGACAGTACTTTTCATATATTTGGAGGTCCTCCTTCTGCAAGAAAAGAAGAGTTTAGGCAAAGGGAGGAAAAAGAATCCACAGAGTATCTTTCTTGAATCACACTTTTTCTTATCTTTCATCCTAAAACATGAAGTAATTATTACATGGAACAACTCTGTATGCAAAAACATACTGAAACCACCAAACCTGCTTTTTACTTCTGATTAAGTTAAATACACCAGAAAGTGAGATTTGTTTTTTTTCCCCTCACTTTTCATACAAAGCAAGGAGACTGCAGACAGGAAAACACATAATCTAACAGCAAAAGCAGTATCTTTTTCAGGGAGGTGAATTGATGGTTTGGAGAAAAAAACAAAACAAAAAATAAACATTAGTAATTTAAACTTTATTAACAATTTTATTAACAATACTGGCACGGACTTTAATTTTTAATGATGACTAAGGTTTACCAATTTATCACACTTCGAAAATAGCGTCGGCTCTCAACAGTACAAGAACAAATTAAAAAGGAAGAAGTTTGTCATGTTGATGACAGGCAAGGGGAATGTGCTTAAACCCTGTCCTCTCCAAATTAGAAGTGGGTGGATTCACTTTATTTAGCTTTGACTACACTCCAAGTGCTCTCACTGAGGTCCATGGCAAAAATCTCCCCGACTTCAGTGAAAACAGAGACAATCTCTGCAAAAGCCTGGAGAAGGTGTTCTGAGCTCCCTGGGCTCTGTGGGTGGGTGCAGAGCTGGGCATTCCTCTGCCAGGTCCTGGGCTTGCTGCCTGTGCACTGGGGTGGCCACGGGGCTCCTGGGCAGGGCTGGCTGTGCCCGACCAGCCAGGAGCTTCCCACTTTCATCTGCACCTACCCTGCTGGATGTGACCTCAGCAAATCAAAGAAAATCAAAGAAAACACCAAAAATCTCAAAATCTCAGCAATTCCTGGATCGTTCCTCTGCGCTTTCAGCCCACCAGGCAGTTCCCATACACTCCTGCTGCAAGAAAATCACTTCCTTCTATACAATTACCAAAAGAAATCAGCATTGCTGCTGTCTTCCTCTACAGACCCATCCTGACATCACCCTGATGAATCAGCTGGGAAATCAGAGCTGTGCCACCTAACACCACACTGTGTCAAGGATTATGCAATATAAAAACCTCTTCTGTTGCAACTCGATAGAATATTTATGGTGCTGTTTCAAAATAGGTGCAGTTTTCTTCACAAAAATATAATTGTTCACACATGTTGCCCTGGAAGGAAGTTAGCAGGGGATAAACCCCACAGAACTAAAAATAGCAACAAAGCAAAATCAAGCATTACAGTCTCATCCTAGCTCATAGAAATCTAACTGGACTGGGTAGGAAGAACAAAGAGAGCAACAGACAAGAGAATTATGAGGAATAAGAGAAAAGAACCAATTTAGACTTAAAGAAAAGGGACAATAACCAAAAATTTACCAGTAATTTGCCATAGAGGATCTACCCTATACCAGTGCAATCTTCTGTTGCCTAAATCAGTGATACCTCTTAAGGCAGATACTTACATATTTAATTACAGCTTTAAGTTTTGCAATAGTGTTAGGAATAGAATTAGGCTCAGACTTCAAAATACCAAGAAATAATTGATTGTCAAATTATTCAAATCCCAGTCCTAAATGTGCCACACATCTGTATTTTTACATGCAAATGCTCTGACTTCTTGCTGGTACTTTTACACCACGCTCTTCTCTCCTATAAAGCTTTTCCCTTCCACACTGATTTGGATCCTGAGAGCTCTGTAACCTCCAATGCACGTGGCATATATACACAGTTCCAATTATCTTTTTGACTGCTGATTTAGGAATAATTTAATTAGTCTAGAATTTAGACCTTTGAATCCAACTCACAGGTTCCTGATCAGCTGCTGCTTTCCTTTCACAGGTAGATTCCTTTTCTAAATGCTTCTTTCTCCCTGAATGACCAAATGCCTCAAATGCTGGCTCCTATTAAACGATTCCCTTTTTTAAGGTTAGCAAAATGAATAAGTGAAGAGTGGCAATCCACAGTGAATCACTCCTGCCAGACACATCATCTGGCACATTCTGGTAAGCAGTCTGACACTCCTTTGGTTCCATCCTGGGCATTCTTGCCTTGTTTTGGTAAGATTTCCTTCTTCACAGCCCTTTGAAAAGCAGATAAGCACAGTGTCCCCCCTGTTGCAAATAAAACTCCAGAAGACCATTCTGCAAAGAATTCAGTGCACATCCCTCCGGTCTTTGAATGCTATGTAGTCCTTGACCACACAGAGCTGTAAGTAAGGCCAAGCATCTTGGTGATGGCAAAATAGCTGCCATGTGGGTAAAGTTGAGCTGGCTCACTTGTAATTTAGCTCATCTGAGGATCATGCCCTAAACAAGGTCAGGCAAAGTGGGAGGGAGAACAAGAAAGGCATTTCTGGCTCATCTCTTACCAGATTCTGCTGCCATGTTCCAGGAGACAAAGCCAGAGAGAGACCCCACAACCTGTTTTTCCCATCACCTGAGATGCAGGGTTCACATTCATGGTGACAACTGCTCAGGTGGCATTGGTGGAACTGGGAGGGTGTGTGAGGACATGGCAGAGGAATGACTGGCAGGGGATGGAGTGACTCCGGCACCAGAGTGTCTCACTGCAGCTCTAGGGATACTTTCAAGCAGCTCTGGAATCAGGGCTGAAAAGGCCCAGTGTGATCAGACAGGGTAAAACTCTTCAAAGTATGAATCTAAAAAAACTGCCTGTTTCTGATTATAGGCCCAGCCTGCTGTTGTGGCAGGATGGTCACACCCATACAAAGGGGAGAACCTGCAAGAGTGTGAGTTTCCTCCCAGAGCTCAGCATCACTTGGAACAGCAGCTGCTTCTGTGTGCCCCATCATAGCAAGCACAGCCATAACTCACAGGGCAGCCAGAAGCCACTGCTCAGCAGGAAGGCATAAAAAGCTGCCAAATCATGGGGAACACAAACACACAACCAGACTTTTGTTTGTGCCTCCTAAAAGCAGTCCAACAGAAACAACACATTTCTGGACTTTATGTGGCTTCTTCTAAAAACGGAATATAAGGGCAGGAATCAAAGGTGCTACTGTGTGAACAGAGACATCTCAAGAGAGAAACTTGTGCTTTCTTAGTGTGAAATTTGAAATAGGGAGAAAGCAAATGCATGATTTAACCTCTTATTTGATGGATCTAGTGTGGTTTGATGAGGCCACAGAAACTGATGAGCTAAGGTGATAGAGGGGCTGGTTTTCTTTCAATTCATACCTGAACCCCAGCTTTAGTGCTGTTTTCATATTGGTATAATAGTGAGGAGAATTGGGTTTAACAGCTGTTTTTACAGAGAGACAAGCTACAATATTTAAATATGGAGTTTGAAGCTCCTGCAGAATCAGAACATTTCCACATTTCTATACCAAGAATTTTTATTTAGCTGCATTCTTTAGGGATATATGCAGCACATGGACTATTTTACATTTCTTGGGTTTCAGAGATCTGCATTCTTCAAAGACTGCTTTTCCTCATTTGCATAATGATTTCACCACAGTATTTTCCTGCCCAGCATGTGAATCCTAGGATAACAACATATGCCTTAGTAGTTCAATTACTCAAGCTCTAAATGCTCATTGTTGAACAGAAAATAATCCAATGGACATATAATCACATTTACACTTGTATGATTCTCTCCAGCCTGTTTGTAAATTGGAAGCATACCTTTTCCAAGTATCACATGCTCAAATTCCCATTAAATCTTAGTAATGTTGCAGTGCTCAGTACCTCTGACTGGTTCATCCAAATGTGTCTGTATTTAATGTATGCTCTAGAAAAGCAGCAAATTCTACCTGTAGTATACAGCAGAAGCAGGAGGTACCTTTGACTACAGAGGACAGATTTTCCCACTTCTCATGCCACTTCTATTTCCTGTGCAAAACACAGAGCCTTATTCACACAGTTTTGTCAAACTCTGAAAGCAGCAGCAAACCACCAAAACTTTTTTTTTATTTTTCATTAGTAGGGCCCCTGAAGGAGTGCTGTATAAACAAGCACCTTTGGTTGTGTTGCAGGAAAGAACTAATGGCCAGGCTGAGTGGGGGTGGAGGGGGAAGAGGGACATCACAGGGAGCTCTTGGAGAGAGCTGCAACACTTGTGAGTCACTTCACAGCAGAGGGGAAAATCCCACTTGGTGAGTTATGTGGAGAAGCACAGGGAACCTCACAGAGCCTTATGGGGCTGGTGGGGTCCCTGCAAGGACAGCAGCAGACTGCTGGGACAGTTCTCAGGGACCAAGTGTCCTGCACTGTGCAGAGAAGAGAGAGATAAGATAAAGCAGGAACAGGATGTGTTGTCTGCACTCAGAGCAACCTGCTGTGACACCGATACTGTCCTCTGCTTATTTACTGCAGGGTGGTGTCTGGGTTACATCATTCTCCTGCTATAGATGTGTCTGATATGAAAAGTATGTCAAACATTTGGATCACTGTTATTTGATGTTTTTTTTCTTTTAGATGGGACTTAAAATATAAATATAACAGCTCTTTTCCTGTCAGTAAACCAGGTAAAGAATCAGATATCACAATGCATGCTTGGTAACTGTGGCTTAATTTGGGAATATCTGCTTAGAGGAGCTTCCCTCATTCACAAAAGCAAACAGACTGAAAAGATGGGAGTAAACCTCTAAGTACTGTAGGGTAAGACGGTAGATATTCATTCAAACCTGAAAAAGGATATACTTACTCTTTTCAAAAAGCATCGGGCAAGAAGCTCAGGGTTTTCAATGCAATTTTCTATCTCCTTGAGGAAAATCCTGAGGGGAAGAAAAAAAGAGCAAAGAGTAATATAAAATCCCACTCACATTGTGTGTTAGCTTCTGTGTTAATCCAGCTAAAAGCCTTCATTTTTGTAATATGAGGATTCAATTGGGAAGGTAGCAGTTTTGACACACCAAGAAATATGTATTTTAGAAAAATGGGATGTGGCTACCACCTGATTCCCTAAATCACAAATATTATCATATTTTATCTGCTACATCTGATTCCTCTGGCTGTTGAAATTAGTTTCCAATCTGTAGCCCAAATACCTGCTTTCCATTTGGGTATGAGGACTTTTCAGAACAGCTAGAAAAGACAGGAATGCTCTGTCAGACGCAATTGCTCAATCAGCAAGTAGTGAAAATATGGGATGTAATCCAAAGGCTTCTGCAGTGACAGTCAATGCACTAAACCTTTAGGGAAAGAAAGATTGGCCTTGCAAAGAGAGAGGAATATCTTTCTCCAAATGGAAGACACAATCTTTGAAAATAATACTAAACTGGAAAATAATATTTTCTACTATGTATTAACTACTCTGGCATAATATTAGGAGACTTGCAAAAGAGATTTTTAAAATTTATTTTGTTCAACTAATTATTATATCTTACAGGCAATTATTATTCAAAAGCGTTCCTAAATTCCCACTTGGTTACAGCCGGTTTTGCTTAAGCAAGTCTCAGAAAAGCAGGATATTTATAGAAGTTGCCTTGAGATTTGTGTTTTGAAATCCAATTGCAGAAGGATTAATCTTGTTCATAATTGGTATTCTGTAGTTAAGGGCTCTGGATTTCCTTCTCCACAGTATTGACATGGCTTCTGGATAAGTTTGTGATCTTATATGTGGAATAAAAAGAAAAGTGGTATCAAATATAAAACATCTTCTGATCTGATAACAGAAATACAGGACAAATAAGCTGAACACTAAAAAAACTTCCTCACAGAGGTGTCTTGCGAGGCAGAAAATATCAGGATTTAGTCCTGTGACATCTACCAGTATACCAAGAGAGGTGGTAAAATACTGACCACAAGGGACATTCTAAATGGATCCTGCCAGGAGAAATCACTAGTAAATGCACAAAGAGTACAATCTTCACCCAAAAAAAGATGAAATATATTATCTTGGAGGTGTTCTCTACACATGGGTTTTACAGGACACACACAGAGATGGAGTGAGGATAACTTTTCCTGCCAGTGTACATGTGAGCATGACAAAGCACATGACAGAAAAGGATTGGATGTGATGGTGGCACCCAAGGATGCAGGACAACCACCAGTTCCCATGTACCTGTTGTGGAAATAGTAGATTTCTGGGAGGTTCCCAAAAAGAATTTCCTTCTTGTTCTGAAGTGCAGATGGAATCAGATGTACTAAATTGGGGTTGTCCATTTCTGAAGCGTACCCCTGCAGGGGAGAGTGGAAAATAAAACCAGCCTGTTTTTACCAAGGAAGAAATACTGTATCCAAGGCACTGGAAAGCCCCAAAGTTCATGTGCTTTTATTATCCACAGAGCAAACAAAGCTTCTTCGATGCCCATTGCTTTGTTGCTCCCATGAATTCCTGATGCTTCTGATTTTCCCCAGAGATTTCACCCTGTAACTGTGCAAACACATTTTAACCACAAATGAAGAGGTCAGGAGGTTAAGAAAAAATAGACAAAATTATGTGCCTAGGATTCAAAAGCCATTTGGGTCATGTAGGGATGGAGACTGCTAAGACTGACAGACAGATATCTTTCTGCTACCCTGCTTCATTGCACAAGAGTTAGTTTGGATTTATTTGTTGGATTTTTTTGTTTGTTTGTTTGTTTCTTGTAAAAACTGTATTGTGTTTCTTCAGTAATAACTTTGAGAAAAGAACATTCAAATTTTAAACTCAAGAGTAATATATCAATTACCAGAGCTGCCAGTTCCCATGGAACAAATGCAATAAGAATCAACCACAGGTCCCCAAAGTCCCACCCAAATAAAAACATGATTGATCCCTACTCAGCTTCTGTCCTCCCACAGACTGGGGACCTCAGATTCCACACACACTGAATGTGCTGGTATCCTATTGGTTTCAAAAGCTCAAGAATTATATTTTCGGCATGAGCTTTTTTTTCTGTGTTTAAGTACAACATGCAAAGAAGAGCAGGAGGGGTGCCTTCCTTTTCCTCAATCATTTTCCAATTGCAGATTCACAGAATTTAGTGTCTGGCCCCAAGAACTTCAAAGTGCTGCTTCTGAGACCCATTGGTAATATTTCAAAAAGACATTATTAACTCTTTCTCTGTGCATAACTTTCAGAACCATCAAATTGTCATTCTGTGGGCTTGGGCCAAAGAGGGTGCCTTTTCCTTTAAGGCCTGAGGAAGGATGTTCAAAACATCCTTCCCATTCTTCATCTCCAAGGCTGAGCTATCTTGACAACACAGCCTGTGTGTTATAAACATGAGGTGGGAGTGCTCAGCCCATGAAGGATGTGCACCTGCAGTGATGACTTAGAGGTTAAGCACCAAAAAGTAATTTCAGAAGAGTTTCTTACCTCTATTATACTTTGAAGTTCTTCTACATAAACCCGTTCTGTTTCTATCAGCTCATTGATTATGTGGCTGAAAGACAAGAAGGTAGAGAGTCATAGTGTTAACCAAGCACATGTGAAAGAAAAAAAAATAGGATTCCTTAAAAATTCCTGTTTATCCCTTCAACTACACACAAAAATCTTCTGAAGGTCATTTCTCAGTTCTTCAATATTGTGCCTTGTTGATAAGATTAAAAGACCTAAGCACATCTTGGACTGTATTTTTTTCACCTAATTTTAAACTTCATCTTGGATTTTTCTGTCATTTTTATACCTGCAAACTGGAAAAAAAAAGGTCTTTTTTCTAAGAATAACTAATATTGAATAAAATGAAACTATATGTCAGAGCTATGCTAATGTTTCTGTTTAATTTCTTTTATAAAATAAACAAAATATGTGGCTAGATTTCCATCCTTTAATACCATGCAAAAATAGGCAACAGGATGATGTCAGAAGTCTGAAAACATCAAAGTATATTAAAGGAAATATTTTTACTACATTTTCGACTTTTCTAATATCAGTTTAATGCTCCCAGGTAACTTGAAAAAATGTATCTTGAAGATGCCTACCTTATTTCACAGAAATGTAAACATAATAACCAATTCACTCTTGGACAAATAACTAATTAGATTTTAAAATAAAATAACATTAGTTCTCTCATATTTTTATGCATCAAATATCCCATATTATCAAGAAAGTGTTGTCTTTAGTAGTGTTATGAACAAAGTTTTCAGGGTAGCTCCTCCAGAGGTGTGAGCAGTAGGAAAGAACAAGTACCTGGTGTTCCTTCCCTGGCTTGCACTTCTCGAGAATCTTTAGGCACGGCTAGCTCAAGCCAAAACACATCCCCAGAAGGACACTGGGGAATAATGTCTAGAGGAACTGGAGTGTGGCCAGCCATGAGCAGCACACAACTCGAGGCCAGTAAAGTGTAGGCAGCTCTTGGCATCAATACCAGCACATGCATTCATGCAGCATCTTCCTGCACACACTGCCTGTGCCTGGTTACCTGGCTTTGTGTGTCACACAGCAGTCACACCATCAGCCAGACCCTGCTTACCTGGCTTTGTGTGTCACACAGCAGTCACACCATCAGCCAGACCCCGTCAGCCCTTCAGATCATGAATCATGCCTGTACTGTTGCATCCACTATAAGGGGTTTTCCTCATTCTCCACAATTTTTTAGCATGTCCTTTTTGAGGTTAAAAAAACCATTATACCTCTGATAAAGCTTCATTTGAATGGTTTGGCCAAGCATTTGAAAATAAAATAGCCACATTTCAGCTTGCAGCTTGAAATGCAAAAGCAATGACTAAAATATTACTTGGCTACTACAATAGATTCACTGGTTTCCTTTGGATTTCCCCAGTCCTTTTTCAAGGAAATGTGGTTTTTTAGGCTAGCTAGGGACCACTTATTCAGGTCTCAAAGGCTATTACTCCTTTATGGACCACTGCTTGAGAAACATTATAAATACTGAGAAAACCAGACCTTACCTTTAACTGATGTTTCAAATTTTGTTATAAAATATCTGGGATTTCATAGCTGTCTTGACATAATGCCTTAAACTACAGTGTCCAGCACAAGGTAGGGCAGTGGGTGAGAGCTGTACCAGTGCTCCCCTGGCCACAGTCAGGTCCCATTGGCCACTCTTGCACTGGCTGTGGGCTCCTGGTGACTCTCTGTGCTCCCCCTCAGGTGTCCCTAGTTTGGGAGACCCCCCCCCCCCAAAATATTCCACTGCTGATTGTGCCAGGACTGGAGCTGCTCTGTGACTGCCATAGGCAATGAGGGGAGCTTAGCACACACCTGCTGCCAGTATCACATTTAACAAAAATACGAGGCAGCAATTGACAGGATTATTGTCTGCCCACCCCCTTTTCCCCTTTGACATGCATGACCTACTCTAGAACTACTTTCTAGTGTAACTGGGATGTGTGAAATAAAGGGGCAGGGGAGAACTTCTGCACTGTATTGTTCATTCATTTCAGAGAAATTTTACAAGAATTTGAGCTTTGCATGGCAGCAGTCCAAACACAACAAAACTCTGAGCTCACTGAAGTTTATGGGCAGTTCTGTCAAGAATAACTCCTCACCAGGATAATTTCCAAGCAAACTGGCCATCTCAGCAGGGATGGTAAAGTATTAGGCATCTGACCTAAATGTCAGAATCTGAGAAATCCCTAAAGTCCTATCTGTAGGCATCCTTGTTGCTAGTAAAACTTCATTTCACTCAAGTACACTTGCTCCTTCCCCATGAAACAAAGAAATTCACCAAACCATCAGAGTTAGCCAAAAGTAGAATATTCTGGTCCCGGTAATACCTGACTCAGTATCTTTCCTGGCATGGAAATAGTGATGTGAAACACTGCTCAGGAGGTCAAGGCCAGCTGTCCCTCTGTGGGGGGAGTTAAACATGTCCTAACAGAGGGAGCTCAGCAACCACCAACCTGGCAAAGCCCCAAGTATGGCAGGCCCCTGCTGCCCCCCTGCTTGCCAGAATTAGGGTGTGTTTGTGGCAGGGATCACACACAGATTCACTGATAGGATGTCAGATGTTCCTCCAGCAAAGGAAACTTCTTGCTGTGGAACTTAAATACAATGCAGGCACTAGCTCACATTTCCTTGAATGATTGATCTGGGTTTCTAAGGAAACATTGTGGCCTTGGATACACCAAGACCATATTTCCCTCAAGGGGGATTTTACAGAGGTGCCATTTGGGCTGGTTTTTCTCACTTCAGCAGCTGTGATATCCTGTGGCCCTGCAACACTACTAAGATCTCACACATTGAACCATTTTCCATGACTACCCAGCTTTGAGAAGCCCTGAAGTGCCAGCACAATATGGATGATAAGAAAGGAGACAGTAGCCAAAGTTTACAATTTCTGCTTTGTCAATAGTGCTGTCTCTGGCAAGTTAGTCGTGCCATGCTGAGTGAAGAAAAAAAAAAAAAAATTTCACAGAGGAAGTTCCTCAACAAGGGTTAGAATGTAGGAGCTGCAATGGACAACAAAGCATTGGGAAAAGATTTGTTTTTAGCCAAGGCTGCAAGTGAAACCTTGAAACTGAGGTAAACACTGCTATTACCTATCACCCTTGACTTTTAGAGATGCATTTCTCTATCTGCCCCTGCCTGTGCTGGTATTTAGATCAAAGGTAGCTATTTATATCACTTTGGACTGAGCAAATAGCAATTAGCAGCATTGTTGTTATACGTATAAACTTACCCTGCACTGTATTGTGTTGTTGCAACAAAATTTTGTCAGTAGGTATTTATCTGAGCTGGCTTCTTCAGGTAACTGAGGGCACACTTCTAGGAAGGGCCTCACCACAGTGGCCATAGAGCAGACACATATCAAACCATTTCATCTCAGTTACTCTTTCTCCTTCCTTCTTTAAAAACAGAAGGAAAAAGAAACAACTGAACAGTTGGCCAAGCTTCCCAGAGTTGTCAGGTCATTCTGCAAGTCTCTGTCACAGTAATTTTGGTAGAATGGTTTCTCTGCTGTAATGTGCTGCCTTAAAAAACCCCATCAAATATAATGAAACACTAAGCAGGAATATAATCTAGAGATTACCACAACCTATTAATATCTCCTCTGGCTAAATCTCAATTGCTTTGTCCTCATACAGTTACTATTTGTGCATCCTGCTCAGATGACAATACAAACTAATTCAGGATTTTTGTCTCCATAGCTGTGTTTCTCTAACAAACTCATTGACTCACCTTCTCTCACAGATCCTGTTTCTATGCCTGGATTTGCTATCACACATGCCTGTCCTGATAAGGAGTCTTCCCAGAAGAGGAATTGAACCTATTAATTAGAATTAAACCAGGGAGCTTTTTTGAAAAGAACCCATGGCATAAATCAAACTGGTGTTCCAAAATTATTATGCTGCAGAAAACCTGACTGCGTGGCAGGTGTGGAACCAGCAGAAACAGCACTCATGCATGAGCTCTCTATACCTGTCTATACAGTGCCTAGTAAATGGAACAAGAGTATTTTCAACAGCCAGAACAGCAGAAAATGGGTATGCAAGAACAAAATATTTAATTTAATAAATGAAAACAACAACAACAACAACAACAACAAAAACCACTCCCATCACTTTCATAAATACATCTAATATAGACAGAGAGCTACTTAAATTGAAAATACTGGCTCTTTTAATACCTGAGGCTTCAAACACAATAGTAAGGACTGAAAGAACCTCTGTGCAATCATGGAAATATAAACACAGAAAAAATATCAACATTGGATAGACTTGGACTTAAGGGAAGTCAGAGTGAATAATTTACTGGCTTGCAAAAATGAGCACAGTGGTAAAAACCCCTCTGGTCTAGCACTCTGGCTACTTCTAAGTACTGTGAAACTTCTATTTCTGAATGTAAATAAAATTTAACAAAACTATAATTTTTTGCAATGGTATCTTCTTTGTAGGTGGTATACGATAAAAGTCTCACTGTTGCAGTAGAAACAGAATCAGCAATAAATATCACATCCAGTTTTGAATTAGAAATCACTACAAGAAATTCTAAGGCTGGTCTAATTGTAAAATCTCAAAATTATCTTGGTGCTATGGAATGAAAAGAAATGACAGCATGTCAATAGCTGAGTAGAAGAAACTTCCATTCCACCTACATAATTGAATTTAAGAGGCCTTTTTCAGCAGAAAAATATTCTCAACTGAGGTTGTGCAACAACTCAAATGAAATTTGAGTAATGAGTCAGTTGCTGTACTTTACCTCGTGAAATGTAATAAAAGATCATTCTGGATGTAAGAACTTGTGTTTCAACAGAATTTGTTGTTAGTTGATACAGTATTTGTTAGTTGATACAGAAAACAGTTCTTATTTCTCTGCCATGTACTCTTATTTTTGTTGTTTTGTTTTGTTTTGTTTTGTTTTTTCCAATGAGAGCAATGCCTCAAAAGAACAATGATAGTTCTTAAAATACATTTCATGGCTGCAAACAAAATCCAACTAAGTAACTTTGAGAAGCATAAGGGACTTAGGTAATTCTCCACT